ATAGAGGAGGGCCCAAGAAAGGGGAAAAATATTAGAAGAAGAGCAAGGGAAAGACTATATTCCCATTAATTCTCTAGTCTGTGGAACAAGATTTGTTTCTATAATGAAATAGGAGTTTTTTCAGGAGGCTCATTTCACGTATATTGATATCAGATAGTAGACACCAGCTAAGGAAAGGGCCTCAGCTAAACCTAAATACATATGCAAAATTCCTGAGCCATTTCTGCTTTTGGCAAGAATCCTTCTGGAATGAGAGAAGAAAAAATCTGAGAATTAAAATAATTTAGAAATTCTGGATATATTTCTATTCACCTGCTGGTTTTCCTCAGGAAAGTGTACATGTCCCTGACAAGGTCATACTTTCAGGATGGGTTTGTTTGGCAGACAAAGTTGAAGTTCTAATAAATCAGCATTTGGTTTCCTTTTAATCTAGGTTATATTTTATCTTTTTCACGAGACTTCCTATGATAGGCATACAAACAACCAGAAGGATGTTTTCTTAGGTGAGAAATTACTGAATATTAGGCAGTGCCTGTTTGTTACTGCCCATACCTTTTCCCCTGTTCCTTCAAAGAAGTTAGTTTCATGGGAAACAAAGAGCATGAAATAATCTAACTTAATGAAATTGCAGTGCATATGCACTAGTTTCCTGTACTGATTCTAAAGTAATTTTCTCTTTACCTGCCTTTCATAATCTTTCACAGTGCTTTAAATGTGCTTTATTCTACTCAGATGTTCTATAGGAATGGTGCAAACCCAAAGTGAGACTTGCCTGAGAGACTGAGAGTTTGAGCCCTGGAGCCTATCCTCAATTACTGGTTCACATCCTGCATTAATTCAGTGGCAGCTATCAGCACTAAGTACTAGTACTATCACAGGTTTCTGAAATAGAACACTAGAAAATGAGAAATTGCTCTGTTTGTGACCACTTCTTAACATTTTGACTCCCAACGTGTGGCTGTGTCAGAAATGTATTCTTTGTGGCTGAATGAATTGTGTAAACCACAACAGCATCCTTCTGCTAGGTTTAGTACCAGCATGTTTCAAAATGTGTGAAACAATATAGTATATTTGTCTGGGATCATGAAATTTCTGAACTATATTGCCAGAGCATCACATGGTACAACCTCGGAAGAACTAGGGAGCATCACATGATATAACCTCAGTAGAAGCAGGTATTCTTTAGATAAAACAGAATAAAAAGAATGTAAAAATGTGCCCAAGACAGTTATAATGTGAAAAAAATGTGGTAGAAATAATGCTTCCCCTGAATTTCATTTCAGAAGACCAATTCCTAGTGGCCGAAGAGTTCTTCCCAAGTTTTTGTGTTGAAGTGAAATGGAGAGCTTTTTTGTCTGATGGCCAAACTCCTCTTCCAGATGGTGGATTCTTCTTGGAGATCCATATCCCCATCTGGCCAACTGGAGGGCCTGAAGCAGCCTCTGAGATACTCTTGGGAAATGTCAAGTGCTTTAGGGCTGGTTTTTACCTGTGCATCCCCAAGCTTCACATTTTGCCTTGAGCTTGTGGAAGTTGCAGCACAGGATCATAGTAGACATTCCCATAGAAAATGAAATTGCATTGCACTTCCAGTCATCTATAAAGCAGTGTGCAGCAGATCCTCAAGTAGTTTATTTTCTTTAACTTATGTGTGTATCTCTGGAAGGAAACACATGTTTCTCCTCATAGTCAAGTCCTGGAAGTTGCAGTTTAAATTTGATGAAGTGTTTTATTCCCCCAGATAAAAACAAATAAATAAAAAATTAGATTTAAATGCATTTGTTGATGAGGAAAGTCAGGAATCCTCCTAATTAAGACATTTCTTAGAAAGGTAAAATTTTTATCTGGGGGCATAAAACACTTCATCAGTTTTAAAGCCACATCTGCAAGGAGTGGATGAAGAGGAGAAACAGGCATTTTTCTTCATTCTGGCTTGTCTGTGAGTTTAAGACTTTTAACAACAGTTTTAAAAATATTTCAACCCAGTTAGAAACACTTGCAATGGAATAGGGATAAGAGTGCCCTCCCTCCCTCTGTTTTTAATCTGGTTCTCTTGATGGAATAAACTACAAGGTTGAATTGGTAACTGGATTATTGCCTCATAAAACAGCACGAGGTTACTATTATCCTTTAATTTTATATCTTTATTAGGGAGTAATGTTGGTCTTATTTAAATCACTGACTTCTCTAATGGTTTTTCTCCCCTTTTACAAATTTATAAAACTAAACCCTAAAGGATTTGGTCTAAGTGCAATTGGCATAACTGCCATTATAAAAATCTTTGTGTTAGCAGTTGGTTATAATCAGCCACTTTAACTGGGCTCAGAATACAGCAGGATTTAGCTGTTGATAGGTAGAATAATACTGATAAAATATTATTTCCGAATTTTATTTTAAAAACTTCCATTTTCAGTAAGAACTTCTGAATTTTGAGGCAGTGTGAAGATGAACAGCAGTGCCCTGGAAACTTATAATTTAACATGTTTGTGCAAACAATATATTTAACATATAGTGTATTTCTGAAAAGATTTTTAAAAGCTTGTCTTTGCCTTGCAATTCAGTAAAGTAACTGAAAATTCATGAAAGTTTGTCTTTTGTAGAAGATGACTAATACACGTGGCATATTTAATGAAGTATTCCAGTGAATGCACCCACCTGAATTTTGAGACATAACACATACTGTGGGTGAATCATTGGCAGTTCTTGGTAGTAAAAATCCTGCTGGATTTGCGTCATTGTATTTAAAATGTATTTAAATGTATTTAAAAATGTATTTAAAATTTTGATACACTGTCTTTTTTTGGAAAAATGTGAAATCCATCTGTTGATCTCAGTGTGCTTTCATTAAGCATCCTTCAACAGGGAAAGAAACACGGGTCTATCTGTTCTGGTATAGCTCTGTAGTTGAGTTATAGTTGAGTTTTATACAGAAAGTGAAGTATCTGCCACCTTCAGTGACCGAGAGAATTAGAGCATTTACTATTTGAATGCAAGCCAGGTACTGACTTCTCAGTCAGTATACTTAGAAACTAGTCAAATAATTTGTTACAAATTTTGTATTTTGACCATTTTTTTCTGCAGGCAGTCTTACCAGTGCAATAACATGAACTCACTACAAAGTTTTAATTAAATCAAAGGAAATTTTATGTTTAAGTTATTAATGGAATATTTTAGTATCAGTTGTAAAAATTCATCTCTGTTTGCAGTTGCCTCCTTTGACTGAGACTGCTGCAGTCAATGCCATGTAGAGCTGCTTTCTCTTAAAATAGCCATTGTTCCCCTTTCTGAAATTTTCCTACAGTGGATGTTTTAAAGAAGCCCTTCAATTCCCCTTTTAGCTTCATTGAACAAAGACTGGAGAAGATATTTACAAATACAGGAGTGTGGGCACCACATTGACCAAAAAATTATTGGAAGCGATTATAGTTTTGGTGAAGGCATTGTGGGGAAAGATATCGATATCTTGGATGCCTCTGAAATTGAGAGGAGATTAAAACCATTTTGAAAAACAGGAATTATTTTCAGCTGCATCATATGGTGAAACACATGCAACATGATTTTCTTGCAATTTGTCTTTTCCTATGTAACATCATGGCAAAATTTAAAATGAATGGCAAAAATAAAAATGAAATGTGAATGAGAATAATTTTGAAACTTAGGTAAGAGGGAAGAAAGACAGGAGGCTGTCATTTGGTGGCAGGAAAAATCCAGGTGAGACTTGAAAGCAAAGTAGACTGGGGCTGTGCATTTATGTGTGTTGCAGAAAGTATCTAATGCAAAACAAAATGAATTTTTGGGAGTTACGTTTTGGGGAGTAAGTGGAGGTATGGCAAGTAAGTGGCACTTGAGATTAAGAGAGGAGATATTTACAATACAGGGCAATGCAGGACAGTGGGTGAGAACACATGGATTCCATGGCTTGTTCCACACAGGTTCCATGGCTCTAGTTCCTTTCAAATACTCTGTACAGTACAGCTGTACATGGTTTATCCTTGGCTATATTTATTAGTGCTTGCTGGTCAGAATTTAAAACAGATCCATGATATATTTGTGTTACAGAGCATAGTCCCAGGTAATTCCTTGTGGTGCCCTCTTGTCAAACAAATCTAGCTAATATTGATAAGCAAATCCATGATGTTTGGGTTCCTTATCATATGTGTTTACATATTGATTTTTTTAATGTAACATCAACTTTGATTAATAATATTATTATTACATATATGAAATATCCTTGTAACTTTTTTGAAATTCTAAATTATGCAAATTTGCATAACTCCAAAATAGATCTTTTCTGAGAATGGAGAATGTAATATAATCATGTGGCTTTATAGTTAGGGTTACTATGATCATTCGCAGGCAGAACTCCTGGAAAATAGAATTTTCCTATTGAAGATGTCCATATTTAATGAGAATGATTCACCCTATTTGAGAAGGCATAGACAGCAGATAATTAGGATAATGTCCATCATTTAACCCTTTGTAGGGACCTGCTTGTTATAAACCACTTTGTGTATTTAATTTAATCCTAAAGGAATTTAATGAACCTTAGAGAGGGGACTTCATGCTGATAATTGCATAATAACCTATTTTTCTGCCAGACACTTAATGGCTAAGAGGTTATCATTAAATGTGTATTAAGCAGTTCTGTTCTATAACTGTCTTTCTAAGCCATTTTCTCAGGGGTTATCATTTGTTGACTACTTAAACAGCTGCCTGTATTCAAGATCTTAGCTTCTTTATTGGTTTATTTTCAGATCTATCTTTTCTCTTGAAGGAGTCAAAGAAAAGTTCCTGTTTCTGTTGGTGTAGTTTAGGTAGCTCCCAAAAGAATACTGAAGGTGTAGAAGCACTTTACATGAAATTAGGCTTCATGTGGGAATTTTGCTTCGGGTTTTAATGAAACCACAACCTCAGTTAGGGTGTTTGTTTATTGCAGATTTGCCTTAGAAGTAAGGACTATGGACTAACATGTAATTTTTTAATCTTCTCTTTTAATTTAGACTACTGAGCTGTAAATTGGAAGGAAGATAATTTCTTCTTGTGGAGGAAAAGAAAGGTGAATAACCTCAATGGAAGACTCTCAGGATCTAAGTGAACAGTCAGTAAGTACAAATGTTGTTAAATTGAATGGAATAAATTGAACCTTGTTCAACCAAGTTGTGTGAAAGGATTTTACTTTGGATTTGAAAATTATAGTAAGGTCTGGGGAAATCTACTGAGCTCCTAGTTCTAAACCTTTTAGTTTGTGTATTAAATGAGTGGTTTTAATCTTTTTCCCTGTTGGAAGGAACAAGATTGTTGTGATATAAGATTTTATGGAACTACAATTGTTGGAGGGATATAATTAAGCTATATTGGAAGAATAAAATATTAGAAACGTGCACAGTGGTATGCCTTGTTCAAATAATTGCAATAAATGTATAGCCACAGTGGTCTGTCAGTTTTTCCAAATCAAGGGTTACCAAAGCTAGAAACAAAATACTTCAAATGGTCAGACTGTGGCAGATGACATAAATTAACTTTTTCAGGATTCTCTTAGATTTCAAGGGGATTGTGAGAAATGGTAGTCTGTCCCCCTGTTCCATGTTGGAGGGAGATTCTTCTTGTCACTGATTACATTTCTGGGAAAAATGGTGTTCTTCTCCTTTTTCCTTGCCTTTAAGGATATAATCTCCAGACCTCCTCACCACCAGACTGCAGTTCTGAGGAGACAGCAGGCTCTGAGCAAATACAAAGCTATCTGGGCTTGCCATCCAATGTATTGGGCTTTTTAGCATCTTAATTTTCTGCTGTTTCTTACTGGTCACAATAGGGACACATTCTACCAGTACCATGATCCCTATTATTCTCATCTTGGACTTAGTGTACTAAAGATGAACAGAGGGATTTAGTATTTCTATTTCTGACTTGCTGAAGGAGGTTATCCATGCAATAAACCAGTTTGAACATATATATATATATATATATATTTAGAGACTTTTATGAGTAACACAAATGCAAGGGAGTGGGAAGAGTTGCATGTATTTCTAAAATGTCAGTAATTTTCTTTAATAAGGAGTACTTTGCTCCTGGCTGGGTAGCTCCTATCTGAGACTTTATCTTGGACTAGAGTTTTATTGCCGATTTTAAATGGTACAGGACTGGAAAGTCTTAACAGTGTCTTAAGTCCCCATGGTGGCACTACTTGGGACAGCTGCACATATTTATGTATTTAAAGTGTTCCCAAGCAAAACTTTAGAGCCTGTAAAAGCTACATGGCTTCATAATTTAATAAAGTTTTATAAAGGTCATAAAAGATTAGGCAGAAGTTCATCTCTTGCAGTAAGTGAAACAATTTTTCTGTGGAGTATTCATGGTGTGGTTATTAATAGAAAGTAGATGAGCCAGTTTAGCTTACTGCAAAAACATCTTTCCATAGTAGTTAAAATGTTTTTGCAACCCTGGATGCCTGATAAATGTGTATTTTAGAAGCAATTTCACTACCCCATCATAGTATAATCTCTGTAGTATTTCTCATAATTTCTACATAGCTTTATGCTACATGTGAAAATGGTCTACAGATTGCAAATTGGGGTGAAATCTGTGCTGTGTTGCATATGAAGGTAAGATTTGCTGTCCTTATGCTGGTGTCACAGAAAATCATGATTCAAGACAGGTTTATTCTTCTTACTCTTCACTAGCATTGTCAGAACTTGAAGGTAATGGGTGGGAGAGCCATTTCATCACTCCCTTTAACCAGGTGGGCACTGAGAGTAAAATCTCACCAAGAGCTTAGGCTCTGTCCTGGGAAAAGGACTGTTATATCATGGTTAAACTCCTCTCTCAGCCAAGTTTCACAAAAGAAAATAACGTCTTTGGCTTAGTTCCTTAAAAGCCACAGGGCATGTCTGTGAGCTAGAGATCCCAGGAAGCAGGAGGCTTTCTTTGGTGGTTCAAACTCTAAGAAGGCATCAGATGTATCAGCTTGAAGTGTAGCTGTGGTGTTCCCTGCTGGTTAATGTGTTTTGTACTGGTTAGCTCTGGGCGGTTTCTGCCCATCAGGCAGGATTTCTAATTCTTGATGTGTTCAGGGAGCATAAGTACTTCATCCCAGCCTCAAAATTTATTTTGAGAGCTAAATGCATAACATTTAGATCATGAAAATTCATGGAGCATGAGGATCTAGCTTCTGTTGCATGTGTATTAGATGGTGTGAATAAGCATGAGTGCAAGACCTGTGCTCAGACCTGTGCTGGTACTTGGCTTTAAATAGTCTAGTCCTTGGTTACATTAAAGACTGCCTTTCTCTGCAGCTGAGATGGGTTAGAAGGTGTTTGCTTTTGCATGATGTGAGAGAAAGATTCCTTTATTAGATTAATTTCCCTGGGCATTCCGTTAAAGAATCTTTTATCACTGGGAAAAGAAGCCAGGCACAGTTCCTTGGTACAGTGAACAAGATTAATTTTCAAGTTCTTATTTAAATAAAGGAAATTATTCTAACTTTTGAGAATAGCTCATCCTCTTGAAGCATGATATACTCTAGAGTCTTCTCCATAAGTTTGAGATCACTATTATTATTTTAACTCAAAAAAATACACCAGTAAGAAATGATTGGTTCTGTGATTCCTATCCTGAAAGTATATCAGTTTGGTGAAATTTATATGACCATGCCTATGAGCAATTTCACAGCATCCCTGTTGCCATATGAGAAATAAATTCTTCCCCTTTTGTCTCAGAGCAATGACTGCATGACCACACACTGCTTCAGAAATCTGTGCTCCCCTGTTCTCAGAGCCTCTGAAGAGTTGTGTTTGACTGAATTGAGCAGCTGCTGTTTTCTGAGATGCCAGCTTGATTAGATGTATATATATAATTTATTATATTATGTCAGTAATTTATTTGTTTTTCCTATTTCTGACCAGAAGTCAGTCAACTTGCCTAATTGTTGTGCTGTAGAGCCTCTGTACTAGGAAACTGCTTGTGCTCTCTTTCTTTTGCCTTCTCCTGGGTGGCAGAGGTGAGGGAATCAACTTAATCAAGATCATTCAGAGAGAAAAAGAGTCAGAATCAGAATAGAATTTATTATGCTTTGGCTTTCCTGTCTTTACTCACAAATGAATAGGTGAATAGCTCTATTATGGAGACCAGCAGGAAAATGATGCAATTTACAAGCTGATGCAGAGGTGAGCTGGGATCCCTCAGGTGCAGCTGAGATCCAGTGGATCCTTGCAGCTGGCATGGAGCAGTCTGGGATGACGCCTATCATGCTACTGTACTTTCTAGGGTGGGTGTGTGTCCAAAAAAGCTCACAACTCTCTTTTTATTTCCAATTCACTTGCAAAATATATTAGTACATCCGTGCATGGAATTTTCTTTTAATTTATGGAAAGGCTCAGTAAATCGTATTCTGAGTGAAAAAGAGGAAAATAGTGAGACATGTACTGCACAGACAGAAGAAAATAACCAAATGGTCCTTTTCGTGTTCTAGTGTGAGATCTGTCACCAGGTGCAGGCTGCTACTTACCAAGTGAAAGAATACTTAAAACCACATAAACTGGTCTTACATGGACCATGTAAGACTATGTTAAAAGTTCTGTTTGTTTTACAATGGAAGAGAAGGAAGTTTTACAGATCTTGTATTTATGAAGAGTCTAGCAATAGGGAGAACAAACATTTTTCAAGACTGGTCTTGGAGATGGTAAATAAAATGATAATTTTTTAGCACCTAAATAGTCCTCTGGTGTGCTTCAGTATAGCAGACATGCTTAGGATTTTGAGAACTACAGGTTTGCACTCTTTATTTTGTCTCTTTTAGTCATCACTTTCTGTTCAGTCTGTATTAGTAGAAGAAGAACAATTTGGCTGCTAACTTGCTAGTTTAGGGTTTCAAAGGGCCTTATTAGAAACTGGTGTAATTTCATCCCCTGGCCCTTTTATATAACAGCCTGCATATTTAGATTACTTCATTTTAACCTAGAATTAAACAATAGATTGCAGTGCTGTAGGGCAGGACACTAGCAGATGTGAAGCTAAACGTGAATGAACAGGTTTTTATTTTTGTGACATTTGGACAATCATCCCTCTTGTGCCCTGGGTAAGTTATTTGTTTTTTATCAGACTGTGCAGACTGTTATATCTGTTACTTGCATTTATGGCCCACTTGCAGATGGACGATCCCTGGCAACCTTTTTTGGACAGTGTTGATTCCCCATTTTTGTTTTGTTTTAATGTGTGAAGCTCTCAGATGTGATCCCTTTGCAGATCAATTTTCAGCTGCAGCTACTTCTCTGTTGCACAAGCCCTGTACCTGCAGCATTTAATCTTCCCCACCTCTGGGGTGGGCAGCCTGCTAGCACTTTGGCTGGAGCTCATTGCAAAGAAATGAAAATTAGTTTAAACTCTTTAACTGAATTTTAAAATGCTTTGTTTCACTGTTCTTCATTGCAACGTAGCATGTTGTGGTTCTTGTCTCTGTTATATCAGTATTTGTAGGACTTGGAATATTACAGGCAATTCATCTTCTCAGGTTAGTGATGTTGCTTAAAAGAGATGTCTGAAAGTTATCTCATCTAGCTTCTGGTAGTATACACAAATACTTCAGTTATGAAAGCAAAGAACATTTAAGATAGGTAAGTGAAGAAATGATGGATTTCTTAAGGAAAAAAATAGTTTCCTTAATGAGTGATTATTTGCTTTTAATTAAAGTCAGTCATTGAAGAAAAATGCCACAACTTCAAGTCAGCTGTAATAGAAAGCAATATAAAACCAGCCTGTCTTTTTGAAGGTTTATTTCAAAGTATTTGTGTGAACTGCTTAGGTATTTTACTACCTCCTTTCTACAGTTACAGTAACTGGCACAGAGAGGTTGCTTGCCATAGAGGATCCAAAATTATCATCCATTTTGAATTACAGTAGATCTAGAATAAAGTAATTCCTTGTCTCTAATCTAATAGGAGTTTGAGGTAGAAACATCAGTGTTGTTCTCTCTCAGCTGCAAGACCTTTCCATACAACATAAGGACTTCTGTGAACACACACATTTTTTGGTCTTTCCTTTGTCCTCTACCACTTCAGCATTCTGTCATTTCTATACAATAATCCACCCCTGTTAAATTTGAAGGCGC